TTTTTATAATCTAAAATAAGAGTGTGGCTTTTAGTGTGTTGAGATGACAATTTTTTAACTTCTTGATTAATAATGTTGGGTGAAAAGCCCCTGTCAATAGCTATTGCTTTTAAATAATTTAGTTCTTCATCAAGGGCTAGTTTGGAGGAGCAAACTTGAAGAGCACGGAAAACATAGGAATAAAATGAAGCTAACTTTTGTTTAGTCGGATGACATGATTTAAAGTGTGGTGGAAGGCAAACCGATGAAGGTTTACGGTAAACTGTAGTACTGAAGTTGGATGTGTTACGTGTGACCAGAATATCGAGAAACGGAAGAGAATTGCAAGTCTCAAGTTCAAAAGTGAACTGAATAGCAGGATCAATAGAATTCATTGTTGAAAGAACTCTATTTAAATCATCTTTATTACCTTCAAACAGGGTAAAAGTATCGTCTACGTAGCGGAACCATGCCGGGAAGTTTAAAGTTTCAAACAATTAAAAACTTTAAACAAATTGAAACTTTAAACTTCCCGGCATGGTTCCGCTACGTAGACGATACTTTTACCCTGTTTGAAGGTAATAAAGATGATTTAAATAGAGTTCTTTCAACAATGAATTCTATTGATCCTGCTATTCAGTTCACTTTTGAACTTGAGACTTGCAATTCTCTTCCGTTTCTCGATATTCTGGTCACACGTAACACATCCAACTTCAGTACTACAGTTTACCGTAAACCTTCATCGGTTTGCCTTCCACCACACTTTAAATCATGTCATCCGACTAAACAAAAGTTAGCTTCATTTTATTCCTATGTTTTCCGTGCTCTTCAAGTTTGCTCCTCCAAACTAGCCCTTGATGAAGAACTAAATTATTTAAAAGCAATAGCTATTGACAGGGGCTTTTCACCCAACATTATTAATCAAGAAGTTAAAAAATTGTCATCTCAACACACTAAAAGCCACACTCTTATTTTAGATTATAAAAATTCTGTTGTCATTCCCTTCTTTCCATCAATTAGCTATAAAGTTGCACATATTTTGCAGAAATTTAACTTTCGGGTTGTTTATTCTCCCATCAATAAAATTCCAACTTCTATACTCAAGGACCCCATTCCGGATATGAATTCCTGGGGTATTTATAGGATTCCTTGCCAGTGTGGTTTAATTTACATTGGTCAAACTAAGAGAGCCTTAAAATTTCGCGTCAAAGAACATGAGGCATATGTTAGAAAAAAGGAAACACAGAAGTCTTCTGTTGCTCAACATTGTTGGTCCGAAAATCACACTTTCAATTTTTCTGCTGCCAAAATTATTCAAAAAACATCTTCCATTGGAGAACTGGATTTTTTCTAGAGGCATTTCACATTCATAAAAATCTTTCTGTTCTAGTTAACGATCCTAATTCCAATCCAAATTTGCCTTCGGCTTTTAGAGAAATTATGTTTTAGTTCTGGTTTCACCAACAGATGGCGCCACTTGCTTATTCTTGTCCAGGCTTTCTTATCTTATCTAATCATTATTTCCTATCTTGTTCATTTGCGGTTTTGCAGCTGAAGATGATGGTTCGGTAAAACCATCGAAACTAGTCCTGTGAAAATTTTGTGAATATAACGCTGATTTTTGTTGTTTGACTTCTGAATTAGTATTTATTCGGCGTGTTATTGTGTCTTAATTCATAACCTTACTTTCATTGCACACATAATTAAAATATTACTTTATGCAGTGTACATAGTTAATTTATTTTCATTATCATATTAAATGAAAGAAGTAAAAATTAATCCCTGTTACAATAAATTTTAGAATAGTAACTCTTGCTAATGAACACAGATCATATAAAAGCTTCAATGGATGATAAATTTAAGAGATTTTTTACACGTAATTAAGTAAACAGACTTGGTAATTAGTCATTCAGTTCTTAATTTAAATATTAAAAAAACTGCTCCTATCAGTATTTGATTTGGTACTTGTGTATTAATTATCAAGCCAACTGTGAAACTGCTGCCAAGCAGAGCAATTTAATACCAATCATGGATAAATATGTCACAACACACTCAACATGCACATTTGTTTGATGTAAACCTGACTGAATCTCGATAAGCCACTTTACGTTTTTATGAACAAAGTGTAAGTTAAATGTTATTGCTGTACTTTTTCTTTCATTTTGAAAATACAATTAAAATGCTTAAATGTACAAAATTATCAGTAACATACAGTTTTCACTCAGCAGACTTTATCTATAAGAGTTTTTATCTCAATTTCACACAGGGGTGTAGCTAGAGGGGGGCAAGGGGGCATCTGTCCCCAGGCGCAGAATCCAAGGGGCGCCAAACTGATGTTACAACAATTTAGAATTAAATGTTTTCGATCCTTGGCAAGCAGTAGGGGGCGCGAAATCTTCAGTTGTCCCTGGGCTCTGAAAACCCTAGCTATGAGTCTGATTACACAACTAAGGAACTATACGCAAAATATACATTATTGGCATATTGCACATTATCTGCTTTTCAAAATTTTAACATTAAAATAATAATAATTATTCAGTTTACTTAAGAATTTGTGTTTATTTATGATATGTTATAAATATTAAACACATAATGCCCACCTATCTTACATACTTATTTACATATTTACTCATAAAACATGTTAAACCACAACTAACAACCTCACTGTGTACTATAGTCAGTATATTTTAAAAGTCTAGTTTGAAAGGTAAAAATACATTTGTAAACTTGCTTACTAATGCTCAGTGATTAGTAAGTGATACATAATAATCAACCAGAAATTTATTTTACACACAGCTACTGCACATCCCCATAGTTAACATGCTAATGTCCATGATATACTGTACATACTAATATATATATATATATATAATATATATAAATGCATAACTGTAAAGAAGGGATGATAATATGCTAAATTCATTCTGTCATTACAAGAGAAGTAATAATAATAATAATGCACACAGAGGCTGTTTGCACATTTTTAAGATTATTTCGACTTGGTATTTGAGGGTGGTGGTGGTGGGGAAACCTACTTGGGGAGGACAAATTAACTGCATCTATATTTTTGAAAGTATAAATTATCGTCTACTATTTGAGTGTTTTGTTTTCATGCAAAATGGTACTTTTAAAGAAGCAATGGATCGAAGGCTATGTTCGTGCTCTTTCAGAAGAAAATTATTTGTATTCAGTTATAAAAAATGCTGTGAAAGCTATAGTTTTTTTACTTTATAGTTTATACATCGAAAGTTATGACAGGTAATATTGTCAACAAGAAAAGAAAAAAATGTCAACATTTAGCTTCCAGTGGAAATATTGCTATACATAGCCAAGGAAATAATGGAATGTTTCGAATGTTGTGTAAGGTAAGATTTTAATGTTAAAAAGAAAATCTGCTTAGTCAAAGGATGGCTGCAAAATCATCAAAATGATCAGTGTCAAAAACAAAGTGATTTATGCTGATCTGAATCTTGAAAAGGTGAAAAAACAATGTGCATCGTCTTTCTCCACTACACATCGCTGAAGGCAGAATGGGCTGCAGAAATTTTACGAGAAACATTCATCCGAAGAAAGTTTTTCAAAGGAATTTAGGACTGTTAATGGTTTTTCATATAATGGCGAATCAAAAATAAAGAGAGTGGAGAAAAATGTTAAGATCAACTCCACATATTATCAGCGACATATTTTATATCCAATTTTCAAATATGAAACACCTTTTCTTTACCCACAGTGCCATCAATCAGCAGAACTGCATCAAGACTAAGCAAGCATCAAGACCACGCGTCAAAACACTATTAATTTCCTGGAAACAATGGAATAAGAAATGGGTATCAAGGCCATATTCTTTATTTATATCCCTACTAAATCTCCTGCTGTGTCATTCCTACTAAATCTCCTGATGTATCCTCCCCACTAAATCTCCTGTTGTATCTACCAAGAATTTTTGAACTTCGAAAAAGCGATTTGCCCTTACGTCGACCTACAATCCTTCTTGGAATTTGGAAAGCTATTCAAGAGAAATGGAATAAATACCTCTTGCAATACTATAAAAGGCTTTATTTTCTCCAAAATTATGGTGTAGAAAGAGAGTGATGAATAAGGTTATCGTTGGGACATTTAAACCTCAAAACTTTCAGATAAAATATTTCTGTAAATACAATGAAAATCATCCAAAAAAATGTGCAAACAGCCTCAGTATATTAGAGTTTGTATACTTTATTAAAATATTTCAGTTTAAAAAATTTAAGATTCTTAAAAGAAAATTGTTATTCTATACAGTGAAAAGTCATTAATCTGGACTCGTCGGGACTTTGCCGATTCCGGATTATCGATTTTTCCGGATTATAGATCATCAGTTTAAATCTGGTAAGATGGCATGCAGAAATTAAAACATTAAAAATATGAAACCGTAATTTATGAAATAAAGAACAATTATGATCTAAAGGGTATCAAAATTTACAAAAAGAAAAAGCTTAATTTAGTTTTTTTACTTTATTAAACATTTCTTTCAATGTAAGTTGTTTAAGTTGCTTCGTTTCATGTGATAATACTTTCTCTTTAATTCTATTAAACAGACATAATTTCTTGTTTAGTTACAAAGTTCTGCTGTTCAAGTCCTAGCGAATTATAATGACGAGGAACTTGATTTAAATCATACCAAAGACGGAGTAAATTGAAATGAAATACTACATTTAGTAAGGAGTTATAAGCCAAATAAAATAAAAACATCTGCCCTGAAGATAAGGATAGTGCTGACAGATCAATTTCCAATTCATTCCCCCCCCCCCCCGACCGCAGAGCAGTGTGAAATTGATAAACAGATGTCGGATTTCGAAACATACTTTCGCTTTTTAGATCTTTTACATATTAGTAAATATATATCGGAAATTCTATTTGACATAATCGAAAGTTCAAGCTTACTTTTATAAAATTGCTCTAACAGTCTGCAAAAAATAATAAGCCGGATCCAATTTGAAGATTAAGGAACAATGCAATCTGCAACATTAACTGAATTAGATAATTTTAGCTTAGCTATACTGGCCGTTATACATTAAACACGCATGCGTAAACGTATTATGTGTATGCGCAGACGCATATTCATAGCCGTAAAGGTCTTACGCGCACGCGTAAACGCCTATGCGCGTGCGTCAATGTGCCGCATGCGCAGAAATTTTGTAGCTTTGAGGTCCGGATTATGGGTGTCCAAATTAACGACTTTTGACTGTATATGATTCCATAATTTGTTAGTCAAAATATCATGTGGGGACTTTAGATTTAGAAATTTTTTTTATGATTTTATTATAAACTGCACATTACTACTACAAATTATTAAAAAAAATTCATTTTTGCGATATATTATAGCGATATTTCGATGAGAAGGATAATACACAAGTTATAAAAGACCATGTTTGTCTTAGTTAATAAAACTTTTTAAGATTTGTTATAAGTTTTCTTTAAAATTAGACACTAAATACACTGCAAAAAATAGAGATCATCTTTTTAGATCTTAAAAGTCAAATAATCTTTGGACATTTTGAACATTTCATTCACAACAAGTATACAAACTCTGTTAATTAAATAATGAATCACAACCAAAATAACTTTTGTACTTTGAAAACAAACACATGCAAACAATCAACGAATAAAAAGAACAGATAAAAAGGCTTGATGACACTAATAAAATTCCTACATGCCTTTTGATATAATACAAAAGCTCATTTAGATTTGTTGCATGGAAAAAAAAAATAATTATTTTCTATAGTTGAGCAACATTTTCATATTTTCACAAAGAGAGGGGGGAACTCTCCATTTGGCAAACTCACAAAACAGCTTCACCAAAACAACTGGGTTAATAAACACAAACCAGGTAATTTATGGAGAAGCAAGTAATAATATACTCTATATTATTACAAATATTTGATACTTTACGTGACACTTTCAATACATATTCTGATGAATTTTAGTGGCACTCGACAACATCAAGACTTAAAAAAGCACAGTATGATTCAGACAAGTGCCACTCTAAGCTCATGTGTCTTTATCAATATATTTTACACTCCACATGAATTACAATAAATGAATAATTAAATATTTAGTAAATATGGAATAAATCATGATATTAATATGAAGTTGCATGTGAAAAATATTTTTACATGGTTTAGAATGAGATGAAACCCCTTCATAATGCAAAACAGAGCTGTAGAAATTACCCTTCCTCAGTTGGATTAAACTTACAAAATAAATATGTAAAAAAGTTTCAAATTTTAGTGTGCTTTTAGACGATATAGAAATATCATACGCACAAATGACTTTATATCCATGCTGATTAATTCTGCACTGCATTTTCTCTTTTCTACTTAACTGTCTGTACACATACATTCTTCCAGATCTTGACTGCTTTAGTAATTTTACTCCAATGAAGATGAAATATCAGCTTCCTTTAAAGCGAAAAGATGAATATTTTGTTTATTTGTTTATTTTAATTTATAGTTTACTTCTTTACATAGTTATTTCCTAGTTTTAAAACTTTACAACTTTCTCCAATTACGAGTCTTAACTACGATGCCATTTTGGCATCTATAGTTTTTGTAACAAAAACATTAATATTTCTCATACTTTAGAATTTAACTTTTCCTTTCTTTATAGATAGTTATAAATTAATCATGGTGTTTATTCCATACTTTGAGCCCTGAACCAGCAGCAATTTAAAACCATAAAAACAGAAAAATGCACATAAATATATAAACTTATCCTTTACATATATGAATATAAATGTATATAACCTTTAAATATAGTGAGAAAATATTATTTTCTAATTCAGTGAGGCCATTTTTATCCTAATGTTATGAATTCAGATTGTTCACTAAAGATAATGTTGAATCACTGTTCTTAAACAGAACTATTTTAAAAATCATTTCCAAATATTACAGCTATTAAAACACTTTCAAATACAATACCAGGGTACAATGTTTAAAATTTAAACTCATATGGCTACCAATTACTTTAAATGCCTCGTAGGAAAATTACATGGAAAAAAGTAATATCAGCACAACCAATCTTTCTACCCTGAGGACAAGGAGCATTTCTAAAGCAATAATTTTAGAAATGCATTCTTTCCCCAAGCCCTGTTTAAACCCATAACATTTTCAAGCTCCCCAAAAATTACTTTAGTCTCATAAAAAGCATAACAAATAATTAAACACATAAATAACATCACAATAGGAGCTGCTCAAAAACTCATTTTCACTCAGATGTATTTTTCATGAAGACTAGATTGGAGGCCCAACATTACAGTGAATGCAACCTGGCAAAGACAGAAATCTTTGGCCATGTCCGTTCGCTTTGATGATGAGCAAATGTGTTGTGGTAAGAGATTTGTCAAACAAGCGGGTGCTTCAGGTATTTGACTGCATTGAATGAGTCATAGGAAAACCTTGAGCAATCACTTCATTATTTTGTTCCATACTGTTTGAAGTGAGGAGGGAGATCCCGCCAGATGTGCCGACTCCACACAGTTCGGCCTATAAAAGACAAAGTAAATCTGATAAGGAAAATAAATAAGGATTGATAATAAATACAGAATATAATTTTAGTAAATTATGCTAAACTTCAGACCATCAGAAGGCAGTGTACAATTCATAAAACACTACATTTTAATTCAAAATTACTTATTAAGCTTTTCATCGATATCATTTAAAAGTAGACAGAACAGGAGACAGAGGCTAAATAATTTTGAGCATATTTTGTTTGTAGTACTCTCCAGTTCCTACATGGCATCATTATGTATACGAAGTTAATAAACCAGTTTCATGGGACACATGAGCATAAATTTTTTAGTAGCTGAAACAAGTTTGATGAGATTTTTTGTAAGGAGTAAGTACTGAACACTGTCAAGCAGAATGTCATATCTTTGATTGCCGTTTTGTAAGAGTTTCATTTTTTTGTAACAATTCAATTTTAAATTGTTTCAATTTTAAAGAGTTTTTTTTCCACAGATTAAAGTGGATGTGTCTGTAATCAACTTTATGAAATACTGAACTCTGAAAATGTGCATTTGTTTAAATCTCTTTTGGATCTTGTGAAAATTTCAGGCATGACATATCGATGGAACACATTTTGGGCTACTCTTTTTAGAAAGGGGGAAGAAACCATGGACACACATAGCTACCAAGGTATTATCTTAGAATTGACTTCCTTAGTGAAAGAGAATGAACACCATTTCTGGATATAGCAAAATGGCATGAAATATCATACATATTCTACTGCATCACAAGAGTTAAATTATAGGACAACTTAGATCTTTATCAAAGTAAAAATTTCTAAGGATTTTTAAATGAACTGAGTTCCTAAACAAAACACATATCTTAGAAGAGTAGTAAGAAAAAGTTTCATACGGTTGAAATGAGTATGGTGAAAGATGTAGACAAAAACACTGAGCTAGACTGCTCCAACATATGCTGTATACTATGATGGTGTCTTATAAATATATATACTTACTCTTTCTAGAAACGATGCACTTTTAAAGTGAGCAGACTGTGTATAACTACAATCCATAGCCTGATACAGAACTTAAAGCTAGCTACTTGACAAACCTGATGATATATGAATTATCTCATCCCTCTCTTATGGTTAGTGGTTAACATGTCCAGCTAGCAGCTGGTAGCACAAATCTTGGTGAGGACACAATTGATTTTCCTTTCCAAAGTGTCTACAAATCTCTACAGTGAAAATGAATATTTCATTTTAAGTCTACTTTTTGTAGCATGTAAAAACAAGTCAGTTTCCTTCATACTCTTCACAAAGGAATTTCTATTTTTCAAGCAGATAATCCTCATGGCTTTGTTATATAAGTACACAAAGAATTTTTGTTATTTCCTTTTGTTTATTTTTGTTTCGATTAGTTAACTTCTTCATTTCCAGCAGTGAGATAATGATGTTTCCCATATGCTCGTGACCTTGGAGTGATGAATCTCAATCTGTACCCAGGAGCACCTTGCAATTAAGCCTAACATGCAAAAATAATTTCCGCAAAATCAGCTTTTCATCAAAATATTGAATTCTTGCATATCTCATTTAAATTTTATTTCTTATAATATGAACAGAAATAGCTAATACTTACAACTAAAGTAAAAATTCAAAATAAGAAGTTCATATGCAATATTAGTAATAATGATTACCTATTTAAATTATTTACACACAGAAATGAAGTTAAAACTAAGAATTTAAATATCAGTGTCTGTTATATCATACTGCCATATTTACATACAAAATTTTAAGATTATTGCACTGAATGAATCATTTCTGAATTCAGAACATGCATTGTAAACACTGCATGTTTTACATTTATAGAAAAAAAAAAAAAAAAAAAAAAAAAAAAAAAACATATTCATAACAACAAGGCTAATACTCAAGCGATTCCATTCAATAAAGTTTTGCAGCATTCTGATATAATTCATACACATTTAAAATTTGAAATAATATGTACTGTTTCAAATATGATATACCAAACCATTAGCAACAGTTCGCTCTAACATATTTGATATCACAGAGGGAAGCTGAAATATATCATATATGATACATTGGGAATGAAGAGCAATAAATCACTAATGTATGCCAAAACTTTGTCACCAAAGAGCAGGCAGTCATAATCACAACTTCATCTCCCCACCATCAGAAGAACCTAATAGGCCACGTGCTATCATTGCATTTCCATCGAAGCACAACTCACTGCTGTCATAAGTCTTAACTGTGAAGTTCATATGGCAAAATCTTGGAATAAGTAAATGTCTTTGATGCTATATTAAAAGCAATCGCGGTAATATTTAAATAATGGGAACTGTAACAATAAGGAAGTACCCAATTCGTTATACTAATATATGCAGCTAAGACTACATATTTCATACTTCTACTAATAGTTTTTTTCTAATGAAATAATGCTCCCTTTTGGTGTTTTCATCTTTATTCCATTATGAATGCATTACAGCCCATTTTATTACAGTCAAAAGTCGTTAACTCGGACACCCATAATCCGGACCTCAAAGCTACAAACTTTCTGCGCATGCGCACAGGCATTTAAGAGTGCACGTAAGACCTTTACGTCTGCGAATATGTTTGTGCGCATGCGCATTTAATGTGTAAAGGAGGTATAAGCTAAGCTAAAAATTCAGTTAATGTTGCAGATTGCGTTGTTCTTTAATCTTCGAATTGGATCTGGCTTATTATTTTTTGCAGACTGTTAGAGCAATTTCATAAAAGTAAGCTTGAACTTTCGATTATGTCAAATAGAATTTCCGATATATATTTACTAATATGTAATTTGTATCTACAAAGCGAAAGTATGTTTTGAAATCCGAAATCTGTTTATCAATTTCACGCCAGGGATTGGAAGTTGATCTGTCAGCACTATCCTTATCTTCAGGGCAGATGTTTTTATTTTATTTGGCTTATAATTCCTTATTAAGTCTAGTATTTCATCTCGATGTACTCCGTCTTTGATATGATTTAAATCAAGTTCCTCGTCATTATAATTCGCTTCTGATAGTGAAGAAAGTGACCCAGAGGTTATTGAAAACGAAAACATTTCAATTGACAAATTAGTCGGTATTCTCAACACAGCAATTATAGGACTTGAACAGCGGAACTTTGCAACTAACAAAGAAATTATGTCTGTTTAATAGAATTAAAGAGAAAGTATTATCACATGAAACGAAGCAACTTACATTACATTGAAAGAAATGTTTAATAAAGTAAACAAATAAATATTAAGCTTTTTCTTTTTGTAAATTTCGATACCCTTTAGATCATAATTGTTCTTTATTTCATAAATTACGGTTTCATATTTTTAATTTTGTAATTTCTGCATGCCATCTTACCAGGTTTAAACTGATGATCTATAATCTGGAAAAATCAATAATTCGGAATCGCCGAAGTCCCGACGAGTCCGGATTAACGACTTTTGACTGTATAATATTAATTGCCAAGTTGTTATGAGAAGCCAAATGCCACATCGGTGAGCCAAAATTCAAATCTTAGAGAAGGCATGGATGTTTGTAAGTAAACAGATTTGTAGCATCATGGAGGCACTCAAAATTCTGTTGAGTCAAAGAATGGCTGTCCATGGATCTGCCATGCAAGGTGTTAGCATATTCCTACTGTCATCACCTATATGGTGCCTAAGGCCTTGGGCCAAATAGCAGATGTAACCCCTATTCCCCTTGGCCATGATATACTATTTGTGCACTTGATCTAGACAGCATTCAGATCAGGATTAATCACAACAAAACCAATATGTATTACACAAAATATTTCACAGTTTTAAAAATACATTTAAAAATATCTTTCATTTTTCTTCTACTTCACATTTAACATCAACTTGCAGAATCTTCACACACAAACTAGTACATAACAAAGAATTCTGAATACTCACCTCGAGATTCAGATATGGCCTTGATGTGATAGATGATTGTGTGGGCCTCGTGTAACCATCCACAGACTTCATGATAACATTTGCCGTGGAAGTTGCATCGGGAATCTGCAAGTGTGGCAATGGTCTCGTAGATGAGTAAGTGTTTACCAAGTTCGATCCCATGGATGAACTGGAAGCCTGGTAAGGAATGTCGGAAGTATTAGTGGGACCAGGAACTGCAAATTGCACGAGCATGAGTTGCTCTGACACCCTCCGCAGCTCTTCCTGCTGAAGCATGATCTGCTGCTGTAGCATCTGGTGACGTCGTCTCAAGTATTCTTGCATCTGTGCTTGACATACAGCAGAAGTTCTCTCACCCTGAAACTAAAATTAGTAATACAATTGGTAAAGATAATTTGGGTTTAATAACTGACATAAAATATTTTTGACAGATTATTAACTTGGTGCATCACATTTTAAACATTAAAGCAAATGGATGTATTCCAAAAATTATATTAATTCAGAGCAGCATATATTGAAATTCAAATACGTACATAATTAAAAGAAATTATTTTCAAGTTTATAGATTTCAGTAAGTTTTAAACTAATTTTTGAATCTATGTAATGGGTTAAAGTGCTGACTTCTGGAAAGAATAAAGCTTCATGGCTGACTTCTTGTATTCTACTCAAAATTTTAAAATGGAAAAGAAGATCATGCAATACATTAACTCTCTAATCGGCAAGTGGTTTCATTAAGAAAGCACGGATTTTTCAAAACTATTATGAGGAAAAGATATTTTCTTGATTGCAGTGCTAAATTGTCCCTGGTACCTTATATCTATATTTATGTACTTTTAATATGTTGCCTTAATTTCCTGGACATATTTCAAGATGCATGCACATTTACTTTCTTAAAAATGTCAAAAATATTCTAGGACATACATACATACATACATAGAATAAAAACAAATTTAGAAGTTCTGATGTACGAACACTGAGATGTAGGAAAAGCTTGGCACTCCAATCGTACCTTTTTAAGAAAATTTACAATTTTGACACTTGTGATGGGAAGGAAGGACACTGAAAGAGCGTCTGAGCAGAAATAGAGATCCAAACAAAGTACACATTAATATAATATGGAAGATTGCCAAGACGAAGGTTCTGACACTGTTGCGATGGGAAGGAAGAACACTGAAAGAACGTCTGAGCAGAAATAGAAATCGAAACAAAGTATGCATTAATATAATATGGAAGATCGCCAAGACAAAGGTTCTGGTTTAGAAGCTAGAAAAGTTTCAGTTCTCAGAGTTTAAGTTCCAAATCAACTATATCATTAAGTACTACACATGCTTTGGCACAGATTTATCTAGAAATTATGCAGTCCAGAAATATTAATTTTTTTTAAAGAATAAAGAGGAAATACCCAGATTAAAAATGAGGAATTAAGAGATTATTATAATTAAATTATAAAGCTGATTTATATATTTTTTATCTTACACACACACACACACATATATATATACAGTCAAAAGTCGTTAATCTGGACTCGTCGGAACTTCGGCGATTCCACATTATCGATTTTTCCGGATTATAGATCATCAGTTTAAATCTGGTAAGATGGCATGCAGAAATTATAAAATTAAAAATATGAAACCGTGATTTATGAAATAAAGAACAATTATGATCTAAAGGGTATCAAAATTTACAAAAAAATAGCTTAATATTTATTTGTTTGTCTTAATATTTTATTAAACATTTCTTTCAATGTAAGTTGTTTAAGTTGCTTCGTTTTTTATGTGATAATACTTTCTCTTTAATTCTATAAAAGACATAATTTCTTGTTCAGTTGCAAAGTTTCGCTGTTCAAGTCCTATAATTGCTGTGTGGAGAATACCGACTAATTTGTCAATCGAAATTCTTCGTTTTTGAAGAAACTATCGGAAGCGAATTATAATGACGAGGAATTTGATTTAAATCATATCAAAAATGGAGTACATCCGAGATGAAATACTACATTTAGTAAGGAATTATAAGCCAAATAAAATAAAAAACATCTGCCCTGAAGATAAGGATAGTGCTGACAGATCAACTTCCAGTTCATTGCGCGCCTCGATGTCCCCCCCCCATGCAGCTAGCATTCTTATAATCAAACTATGATCAAATGTAATCAATGTGTACCATCCACAGTACTGAAATACAGGTTATGAATATGCCACAATTGCAATAGATATTGCTTGATTTTCCGCAATTCACAGGAGTCCAATGTTGCATTTATTATGCCTATTTTATTTCTTCGGTTTTCTTCTAATAATAATACTTGCTGTCTTTAATACTAATACTTTAATACTTTTCTTGCTTTCTTTTAATACTAGTGCATGCTACAGTACTACAAGTAATATCAGCAACAGTGGGATGAAGGTTGCTAAATTTATCTGCATTATAACAGAAGCTTTTTCTTTAGCACTTACTAGGATGAACCCAATTTCCTGCTGGACAACCAACATCATACTGGATCGCGAGGACAGACATAGTGTGATAATAGCAATCTTAACAGAGATCAGACCATTACATAAGTCCATTTACATCAAATTCATATGTCACTAGCCCATTAATAAATAGATACCAAGAAAACTGCACTTTTTTTTAAAACAAGGTTCGTACACATTTTTTCTCATGGAAATTAAGTACTTTTAAGCTTTAATGAAAAAACTACTTTTACTTTAATGAAAAAAAATTAAGGACCTATGAGCAAATAGGAACTGAATAAATTCAATTGAAAATATTATCCATGCCTGCAAATTTTGAAAGTTAGTCAGGCTCTGTTTGATGCAGTTAGTGTCATAGCTAGGAATTCCAACCCAGTTAGTATACCTTAAGGTTCCAATAAACTACTAAAGCACCACAGGTGATAAGTTTTTTTGTATTATTTTAAATCTCATTACATGCAAAGAATAAATTTTACATGAATTTTAACATTTTTGTGTTTTATCTTGTGACCACGGTAAGGATTAATGAAAGGTAATAACTGGCTTTAATATGCAGAGATAATTTTCAAGGGTAAGCAGTTAGTTATAAATAATTAAATTAGGTAGTTAAATAACCTTAATCATAATGGATTTACATGGGCACTATTAAATTTTATTTATTTTAGTAATAATATTTGTTAAAAAACCCTATTAAAATCACAATCTAATACAATTTCACAGTTTAAAATACATGTAATTTATGACATTGTTTTTTAAACGATATAAGGATAATTACACATTAAAAGCTATAAAACATCTATGTTTTGTAACAACACTCAACAAAATATTTATGTGTCTTTTTAATTTGAAACCTTCACAGACATTTTGGCTAGTTTATATCCATTTCCTTCTCTTTAAGCATCTTTTCTAACAACCAGAAATTTGTCGCAATACGCAAGCCAATGTTCTCACTAGTTTCTGCATGCTTTATCTCCTAACTTGTCAACCTCTCCACACTGCAGCTATGGGGGTTTACTTGATCTGGTAAAAGTTAAATAGTCCAAAACCTCCAGCCAGACATGAGGCAAATTATCGCTATGTCTGAGAGTAACTACAATGTCAGACAAGTCTTAAATAAGCCTAGTAGAGATATTTTTTAAGGGTAAGCAGTTAGTTATAAATAATTAAATTAGGTAGTTTGATAACCTTAGTCATTATGGATTTACATGACCACTATTAAATTTTATTTTTTAATGATATTTGTTATTAACATTTATGTTTTGTAACAACAACAGTCAACAAAATATTTATCCGTCATTTTAATTTGAAGCCTTCCCAGACATTTTGGCTAGTTTATACCGATTTCGTTTAAGCATCTTTTCTAACAATTAAGAGATTTGTCTCAATAGGCAAATCAATGCTCTCGCTAGTTTCTGCGTCTTTATCTCCTAACTTGTCAACCTCTCCACAATGTACCTATGAGGGTTTAATTGATCTGGTAAAAGTTAAATAGTCCAAAACTCCCGACAGACGTGAAGCATATTATCGCTATGTCTGAAATTAACTACAATATCAGACAAAGGTTTAAATAAGCCTCTTATTTAAAAAGAGCTTAGAACATTAAGGCATGTTCTGATGCCAACAAAATCAATTACAACTTGTGGTGATGTAATTAATCAAGAACAAATTCAAATTAAAAATTAGGCAAGTGGTCAAATATTATACAACTTAATTTTAATTTAAGCTGGCTCAGTAAATCTATGATGTGAGGAAATAGAATTGGGAAACTATAGTAAAGGCTGAAATCATAAACAACTGGGTAATTTACATAATAATAACTGTACATATCTTTGAAGAATAATTTGCTTTATGTATTCGGTTTCTTTCTTAAATATATTTCCTTTTCATTTTAGAACTTTTTGATTTAATTATGGATTTTTGTTATTGAAAAAAATAAATAAATAAATGCATTTAGAATGCATAGAAAAAGCTGCTAACTTTATTTCTTTAGTAATATGAACATTCAAAAGAAATATGAAATATATATGTAAGGGCTGGTTATAGAACTGGTGTGGCAGAATTTTTAGAATTTAGTGACACACCAAGCAACAAAATCCAATAATGCCATAAATTTTAGAATTTAGAGCAGTCATTGGAAGCAGATTTTAGAAAGGCACTAGACAGCAGAATTTACGATCCAGAGAGATTGCATCAGATGGGAAAATGTATGATGTATGATGCATTAATATTAGATGAACCTTTTAAATTGTCAGTTTTCAATTTCTTTATTAATAAAAAAACTCCTTTCTATAATGCCTGTCCATAAGATAAGATTAAAAGCATTTTTGATATTTTCCATGCTTGTGTCTAGTGAAAAGTAGTAAAAATAAAGGAAAGATAAACATGTTAAGGAAATGATTCTAGTATCAGAAGTAAAACGTTCAAATATTATGTTTTCATTGTTCTTCCAGATGTTCTCAAAGTAAGAAATTCATCACAAACTTTCTGTAAAATACATCCATTATGTATTAATACCATGGAGACATTTTCCCTTTTGTCACATATTTCTGGAATTTTCTAGAATTAAGGTTCTATAAGTCTTGCCTTCAAATCCTTCTAAACTTTGCAGTGTCTAAAATCCCTACCTAAAATCTAAAATTATTCCCTACCAATTCTGTAATAGCAAAAAGAAAGAAGTATTTTTTTGGGGGGGGGGGAAAGAGGCAAGTGTAAAATTAATTTTATAGAGAAAACTGATGCATACTCTGAGAATTTTGAGACAATTACATGGGGAAAAACGCTTACTATGAAAAAATTAAGAAAGGATTTTTAATCAATTACATAGCTAATTTTGCTTTTGCTAAGAACTGTTTCGTAAATCATGCTTTATAGCATTATACCTTGTTTATTTTTCAGATT